TGTTTTTATCCCTAATTTTTGCCTGAATCGCCCTTTCGGGTTTTCGATCCACCGGGATGCCCATTTTTGCCCAAGCCGCCCTTTCGGGTTTTTGACTCGTCGGGTTATTTTATGCGTAGTATCTTTTGATTATGTCTGCGTTTGCAGGGTGCGGCAAATCGTCGCCGTCCATGGTGGTCAGAATCATTGCGCCACCAGAAAATATGCTCTTGATCACAAATGGTCCTTCATATGTAGGGGTCCATTTGCCCCTGGGATCACTTTGCGGCAAGATAATCCGCTTGATTACGAGGTCTCCGACTTGATACACTTGACGTCTGACTTTCTTATTGAAAGCCTTGATCATTCGCTTTTGATACGTCTGACCATGGCATATAGCAGCAAGTCGCTTTTCGTCGATCAGATTGAGTTGATCAAGTCGGGTCTGCATCCAATCACCTTCATTCAAACCTGCATCCTTCATAATCCTTAGGGAAGGGATCTGGACTTCCATAGGCAAAACAGCTTCCATGCCATAAACCAAAGAAAATGGGGTTGCCCCGGTTGAAGTACGTGTCGTCGTACGGTATCCATGCAGAGCAAACGGTAACATCTCATGCCAGTCTTTGTAAGTGACTGTCATTTTCTGAATGATCTTCTTAATGTTTTTGTTCGCAGCTTCAACAACACCGTTCATCTTCGGCCGATAGGGAGATGAATTGTGATGATAAATCTTGAACTGTTCGCACAATGCAGTGATCATTGTGTTATTCAGATTTGTACCGTTGTCTGTGATGATCCTGTCTGGAACACCATACCGACATATGAGATTTTGCTTGATAAAGCGGGCAACCACATTTTTAGTGACAGAGGCGAAGGAAGCTGCTTCGACCCATTTAGTGAAGTAGTCAATGGCAACCAGGATGAAGTGATGTCCGTTGGAAGCCGTGGGCTTGATCTCTCCAATCATATCAATCCCCCACATTGCAAAGGGCCACGGAGCAGTCAGGACGTTGAGAGGAACCGGAGGAATATGAACTTTGTCAGCATAGACTTGACACTTGTGGCAAGTACGGGAATGTTGATGGCAGTCAGCCTCCATGGTAGACCAGTAATAGCCTGCCCTTAGGATCTTCTTAGCCATTGTATGCCCGCTCAAGTGAGTGCCAAATGTGCCGCTGTGTATATCAGTCATGATCAACTCTGCTTCAGCTTTATCTACGCATCAGAGTAATACACAATCATGGCTTCGTTTGTAAAGGATGTCGTTGCTCAGGAAGAACTTAGCAGCAAATTTCCTTAAGAACTTCTTGTCATTCACGGAAGCTCCTTCAGGATAATCTCGGGTGTCGAGATACCTTTTGATTTCATGGAACCAAGGTTGTTCCACTACTTCTTCGGTATTAATCTTGTGGCAATGCGCCGGTTCATCCATTCGCTCGATGGTGATTTGGGAAGCCTCGTTATCCCAGTTGAGTTTAAACATGGAGGACATTGTGGCTAGAGCATCTGCTAGCTGATTCTCTTCTCGCGGGAAATGCTCGAAGGTAATTTGCTCGAAATGCGGCAACAATGTCAGGACATGTTCTTTGTATGGGACGAGATTAGGATGTTTGGTATCCCATTCTCCTTTGATTTGACTGATAACCAAAGCCGAGTCCCCAAATACGATCAAAGATTTGATCCCCAAGTCTATAGCAGCATTGAGACCAAAGATGCAGGCTTCATATTCAGCCATGTTGTTTGTGCAGCTGAAGCAAAGTCGGGCCGTGAAAGGTGTGTGACAACCTTCCGGAGAAATGAGTACTGCGCCAATACCGTTTCCAAGCGCATTTGAAGCACCATCAAAGTACAGGGTCCATCGGGATCCCTTTTCAGGTCCGTCATACGGTCCGTCACCTTCAACGTTGTCCAAATTCATGATGACCTCGTCTGGGAAGTCAAATCTCATGGGTTGATAGTCTTCGATAGCCTGATGAGCCAGATGGTCAGCTAATACACTCCCTTTTATAGCTTTTTGGGTGGTGTACTGGATGTCATACTCAGTTAAGATCATTTGCCACCTAGCTATCCTTCCAGATAAAGCGGGCTTTTCGAAAATATACTTGATAGGGTCCATTTTGGAAATCAACAAGGTAGTATGAGTCAACATATACTGTCTTAGTCGGCGAGCCGCCCATACCAAAGCGCAGCAAGTTTTCTCGAGCAGTGAGTAGCGAGTCTCACAGTCGGTAAACTTTTTGCTAAGGTAATAAATAGCATGCTCTTTTCGACCAGACTCGTCATGCTGGCCCAAAACACACCCCATTGAGTTATCCAAGACGGTCAAATACATGATCAATGGTCTTCCTTCGACGGGCGGCATCAGAATAGGAGGTTCTAGCAACTACTCCTTGATTCTATCAAAAGCAGCTTGGCAATCGTCGTTCCATTCCACTACCTGATCTTTTTTCAAGAGTTTGAAAATCGGTTCACAGGTAGAAGTCAGATGTGAGATGAATCTGGAAATATAGTTTAAGCGCCCCAAGAATCCTCTAACTTCCTTCTCAGTACGGGGAGCAGGCATCTCTTGTATTGCTTTTACTTTTGCGGGATCGACTTCAATGCCTTTGTTGCTTACAATGAATCCCAGGAGTTTACCAGACCTAACTCCAAAAGTGCATTTACTTGGATTCAGCCTGAGCTTGTATTTTTTCAACCTGGCAAACAGCTTTTCTAGATGTTCAAGGTGCTCCCCCTCTGTTTGTGACCGAGCTATCATATCGTCTACGTAAACTTCAATCTCATGATGTATCATATCATGAAATAAAGCTACCACGGCGTGTTGATAAGTTGCCCCTGCGTTCTTCAGCCCGAACGGCATCACCTTGTAACAGAAAGTGCCCCATTGTGTGACAAAAGTTGTTTTCTCCATATCCTCGGGGGCCATTTTGATTTGATTGTAGCCCGAGAATCCATCCATGAAGGAAAACACTTTATGCTGAGCTGTATTGTCGATCAAGATGTCAATGTGAGGTAGCGGGAAATCATCTTTAGGGCTGGCCCTATTCAAATCCCGGTAGTCCACACACATCCTGACTTTGCCATCTTTCTTAGGTACTGGCACAATGTTAGCGACCCATTGAGGATAGGACGTAACAGCCAGAAAGCCAGCATCGAATTGCTTCATTACTTCTGCTTTGATCTTTTCAGACATGTCAGGCCTCATTCGGCGAACTTTTTGCTTGATCGGCGGACAATCCTCTCTTGTGGGGAGACGGTGAACCACGACGTCTGTGTCTAAACCCGGCATGTCTTCATAGGACCAAGCGAAGATTTCAACATACTCATTCAACAACTGTACCAAGTGCTCCTTGACTTTTGGTTCCAGATTGGCACCCACTTGCACCTCCTTCCGGTCTTCCTCGGTCCCTAAGTTGACAGTTTCTAGTGACTCTTCATGCGGTAAGATGGCCCTTTCCTCTTGTTGCAGAAGTCTGGCTAGTTCCCCGGGTACTTCACAACCTTCGTCATCTTCATACTCGGCTAGATTGACCAGATCCTCAGAGTTATTGAAAGATATAGCAGAATAGTCACCCATGGAATCCGGAGTGGATGGGTACCTGCATTGGTGAGTGTGGGTGTGTGTAAGGGATAGCCATCCTTAAACAAAAAATGCAAAAGGAAAGAAAATGAACATAAGCAGCTTATCAAATGAAAAACGTCCAATGAATCATTAAACATGGCATATGGATATGAAAAATAACCAAAACCCTTACAAATGGACCTACATGCCCCGGGCAAGGCAGGAGGTGAAAAGATAGTGTACGGATTGTTTGAAAGTAAATATTACAGACAAAATAGGAAATGTTTAACAGATAAATTACTGATGAATAAAAGTGATGGGGACAAAGTCCTTAGCCTCCCAATTGCTCAATCCTCCTTTGACAGTTGGATAAATCCACTCTTCAATGTTGCTCTCCTTGTCTTCATCTTCCAGGGCGTTGATTCCGTAGGGAGAAATTTTGACTGGCGCCCTTTCAATCTTCGCACGGCGCATAGCTTTCTGGCCGGCGGCTGTGAATCCTAACCCAAACTTGTCAGTCTTATGCGGAAAGTCAGGTAACTGCCCCCATTCTGAATTCTTCCCTTCTTTTATTGCGGCCCTTGCGTCCTCTAGAGATGCCATCCTGGCCATCTGTCTCGGTGTCTCAGCTGCCAACTTTGCTATTGCTATTTCAGGAAGGACTTCTTCGAAATGTTGAAACGGTGTCTCAATGAACTCTCCTTCAACCTCCACATACTGGAAAGAATTTAAGTGGCTAATCGTGTACTCTTCTTCGCCATGGACAGTCACTACAAGAAAATTAGTGTTTAACAACACAAAAATTGCGACAGTTATGTGATAACTGTCGTAATTGACATATAGAGACAGTGTTTACGACAGTTGACACCAACCGTCCCTAATATTTATTTTGCGACGGTATATTTAACCATCATAATATTATTATTACGACGGTAAAACAACCGTCGGCCCCCATTTAACACTTTTAACATTGATTTTTCACCAACAACTAGTCACGACGGTAAAATTAACCGTCCTAAAAGGCATATCACGACGGTAAAGCACCCGTCGCACCCTTAAACCTTTCACGACGGTAAAATTATCCGTCCTAAAATTCATTTCACGACGGTAAAACAACCGTCGCATCCAAAACCTTTAAAAATTTTCATGGGCACGACGGTAAAACACCCGTCGCCGTAAAAAAGTTAAAAATCTCATAAAACATCCATTCACTTTCTACTCCTGCGTTCAGAGAATCCGGAAGCACCGTGGCGGCAGCGACTGGCGGCGATTCGTTGTTTGAAAAGATGGCTAGATGATCAAGAGCCAGTGATGATACTAGTTCAGTTGCACCAAAAACACACAGACTCACTCGCACAAGTCGTTTCTTCGCGTATCTCGTAATTCTCGATCTCATTTCTCAAATCCCTAACCTATCGTAAATGCGATTTGCATTCATAGATTCATAGCTGCAGAAATGGCCATAAACCTAGCCAAATTTCTCATACTGTTTTTCACTATTTCGATCTGCAACGCCGTCACGAATCCAAGTCCGATTTCCGATTCTCACTGTTCCGCTGCTTTACAACTCTTCGATGGTTCCTCTTCAAGGTCGATGGTTCCTCTTCCAGGAAGTGCCAAGGACTTCTTCAATCAAATTGAATCATTAGCTCTTCTGGAGAGCAAAAGGCAAGTGCTTTTCAGGAAAAGAATTTATAATTTTAGTACAGCTTTATAGTGGTGTCCTTTTTTCCCTCTTGTTTCTTCTTTGCACATATCTTGATATCTTAATAATATTCAGTAACAAAAATGCCTCGGATTTCTTGTTCTGGTGTAGGGTTCCCGTCCCATTAGTGTTGTCACTTCCTGCAACAGTTTATTCATTATCCAAAAAAGATCAGCTCAAGGTAAGTAATGAAGTTAAAGTTTCTAAAGTCTTTATTTTAGGAGTGAAACGATTAGTTGATGGTTCACACTGGTTTTCTGTTTTGGCTCCTCAACCACCTCATAAGATTATGTTTTTATCACTTTTTCTGTCAAAAATATGTTGGTTGACTCAAATATATTAAAGATTACTGATACAGTTCTGAGTTCCAGTTAGCCTTTCTTTCATATGATGCTACCAGTTATTTTTGGTTCTGTCATTTTCAGTCTCCTTTTAAATTCTTCATCTCACACTCTCCTATGCGCCATTGTTTTTTATTCAGTTGTGGAGCTTAATAAACTCTTCCCCCATTTCTCACTTGTTGATTCTTATACATGCAATACTATATTAGCATCACATGAATCAGTTGGCTGCATTAATAAATCTTAAGTTTTTTTTAATGAATGTACAACTTTTCACTTCGGAAAATGACAGATTTCTATTTCAAAATTAAACAGGTTACAGTGAATACAGTACTTGGTTCAGCCGCACCACCTCTTACAGTTAAGCTTGTCAGAGCTTTCCACGCTGATGCTAAACATTCTGCTGTTATCGAGGGCAAGGTGAGTGATGAGTCAATGATTATTTTTAGAAGTGGATGTCGTAGAGTAATTTAGTTTATGGGATTCTTTATTATCTCTGGTCTGTTCTACTTTCAATTGTTTGAATATACCTCCCTTATTGTGTTCTACAGGAACTCCAGTACGATCAAAGTAGTGGACTTCATGTCATGGGCTTCCCAGATAATGTGGATGTGGGAACATATGTGTTTGTTTTTGAGGTATTATGTTTATTTAGTGATTATTTTTCCTTTCATTACACCAAGGTGTATTTATTTGTATCTGCTTGTTAGTTATAATGTTTTAAGCCTATTTTGTAGACAGCGCTTCATGATTCAGGTAGTGAAAATGATTATGCTATTGGAGGCCAAATTCACGTGCCGATATATGTCACTGGCATTGTTAAAGTTAGCAACGCAGAAATTGCAGTTCTTGGCAGTGATCTTGGAAGTGATGAAACCCAGAAAACGTAAGGTTTCAATTACTGGTTTGAAAACATCTCTGCAATTATATTCAGGATCAGTGTACTTAATCATCAATTAGTATGTCTCATTGTCATATGTTTGTCATTTTTATGCAGTGTTTGAAGTTCGAGCTGAACACATATATACATTTAAATCTTGGTTTTGCGTTTTTGTTAGCAATTCTATTAATTATGTTTATTTCTTCACTTCAATTTAAATCTTTATTTTGTGTTTCTGTGTAGGCTAGATTTGGCTGGAACTGATGTTGTTTCACTCTCAGCTAACCATCTTCAAAAGTTGCGTTTTTATTTTCAGTTGATAACGCCTCATGGCCATACCTTTAAGCCTCGCCAGGTTTGTAGTAGTTGCATTAGACCTTTTAAACGAATGTCATTTCATTGGTCTCTTCTTTATTAAACATTTATTCTTCTTCAGGCATTGCTTAAGTTGAAGCATGAGACAAAGTATGAACACATCTTTGTGGTCAGAAATACCGGCAAGAAGTTCGAGATTATTCTCGTTAAGTATCTCCTATTTTATATTTCATTGTCTAGATTAACATGTCTATTCTCGAGTACTTATTGAGTTTGTTACAATTCATAATAAATAGCTATTACACGATGCTGAAGTCAGGATAATCTGTTTTAGTTCATAACTGCTACATTCTGAATATTAGAAATCAAGTGAACTTAAAGTGGAAAAGGCATGTATGTTCTGGTTTTAATACAATGTGTCTTTTTGTAACAGAGGGTTTATTTATCTGTTAGGTTGTACCGTTCTAGATATGCACAATTAAATATGAATCAGCATTCCCTAATTGCATTTAAGTTGGACTGGGTTTGGGGGCTTATAATTTTGTCACCTGTATGTTTTGGCGAAGACTGTATGATCATTTCATTCTCATCTACTATTAATATATAGTTATTGTTCTGTTAAAATTCATAATTTTGTCTTTTAGGATTTTCTTGGCTTGGTGGACAAATTTTATTATCTCTCGGGCAGATATGATTTTGAGTTGACTGTTGGTGATGCTGTCATGGTATCTTGCACATTTGGTTAGTTTCCCCTCTCCCCGTAATAGGAAAAGCAATCTGAACAATTACTATTTATGATTTCAGGAGAACTCTTTCTTGCGGCCACTTGGTCATTTGGAATTAGATCTTCCAGAAGCACCTGAGAAAGCAGTGCATCTTCCCCCACTACCTTCCAGAAGCTCTTTTGAGAATTGCTGTGAAGAACGGTCTGCCTCTTTTTACATTTGCTGTTAACCAAATTGACGGTAACATTCTTGCAGCCAAAGTGAAGAACTTAGGCGACTCTGGAAAAGACGAATGCAACCGCATCTATACCTTTTTAACCTTTAGCGAGGTTAAGAAGAAGAATGGAAGTTGGATGAGTAAAGCAGGAAGAAGCAAAGAACCTGATTACGTTCCCCATGTTGTGGCTCAAATGAAGGCTTCTTATTTGCATTATTATGATTTAACCGGCCAGAATTGTATGGACTCCTCTACCGTGAAAGAGTTTGTTTTATTTTCTATAAAGCTCGGGCAAAGTGATGCTCAGGACGCCGACTATCAGCCAAAAGACGAGCTTGCTGCTATTGACGTCAAAATACCTAAAGCTATCAGTTTCATTAACAATCAACATCATAGCAGTTGCCACAGTGATAGTCATGACATTGTCCATGCAACGGTTGTGCTCCCAGGCGGGGTTCATAGTTTTCCAAGTAAAGGCGGACCTTCATCACTACTTGAGCGGTGGAAATCCGGTGGATCATGTGACTGCGGCGGTTGGGATTTGGCTTGCAAACTTAAAATTATTGCTACTGACAATCAAGCCAGTAGAAAACCACTGTCATCCAAACCTTATTTTGCAGATTATCAATTCGATCTTTTTGTTCAGGTACATTTTGTTCATGAAACATATTTTGCATACGCTATTACATATTACTAAGATTAGTAATTTTGGTGCATCTCTTTTCTTGCTAACCACAGGGGAACAAACACGATACGTGCCCAGCATTCAGCTTAACCCCTTAGAAAATGGTATGAGTTCTGTAGCCTTTGACTCGTCGCTCTCACTTTTGCAAGCATTCGCCATTTGCATTGCATTAGTTGATAGCAAGATGCCATGTGAGCTTTCTAGAACAAGAAAGTCGCAAACCGAGGAACTAAAGGCTTTTGGTAAATTAGAAGATATTCCTACAAGTTATGTTTCTAATCCACCAGTTTCTCCTGTTGGTAGGGTCTAAAATTAACATGTGGTAGAGAAATGTTTACACAAGCTAGAGCATATGAAAAACATTGACAGTTTATAAATAATACAAAACAGATCTAGTAATCTGGAATTCTGTTAAATTATATCATAGATGCTATTGAGGGTCTGGAGCACAGTACCGGCCGTTGTTTATACACTGAGACTTGCATTGATTGCTTAAGAGAAAATCATTAGGGCAGTACCAAGTTATAAAGTGAGGAGTAAATTGAGTGAACCCCTTCTTCTCAAGAAACTGAGCTGCACCCCTTCATGCATCTGAAACATGAAGTGTCTTCTGCGCTAGAATGAAAATAATAATGTTTTTGTTGGATTTAAAGGGATATGAGCTGTTGAAAAATATAAGATTTCTATTTGATAAATCTATGATTTCTACCAACTATTGATATGCTGCTTTGGTTTTTGTTGCAGGTAACTTTTCTCTTCCACTTGCTTCGCTGCTCTTCAAACCCTCGTGCGTCTTTGAGGTATGATTTCATTCTTAAATTTGAGTGTGCCTTTACTATATCACTGTTTAATAGTGTTAGACTAAAGAATTTTATCTTAAATTTGAGTGTGCCTTTACAAATACATTATTCTTATAAGCAATTGTAATAACCAAAATTGCAATGTTTGCAATCGCATTCATACGGGACCGCAAAAGCACTTTAAAATCCTAACACAGGCAATCATATTCTTAACGCAAAGGGACAAGGCGAGGACAAAGGAAATTGAACTCTTAATGCAAATGCAGAATTTTAGTGGAAGACAGGTATATTATTTTGACGCATTTAAAGTTAAATTTTATGAGTATTATTTTAAAGATTATTATTTTAATACCTTTTTTTAGGGATTGGAATCACCCGCTGATGGTAGACGTTCATCTGAGTCTAGCTACCGTATTGGAGATAATGGAACTTTAGGGGGGACAAATTAGACTTTGCTATGATCGAGATAATTAGATTGTGAACTTTCTCATGTATTTTTGGCATAATGATACTTATTATTATAAGATTAGGAATTGATATATTTTGGGTTTTTTGTACTACTTGACATGATTATGGAACTCGCATTTTACATGATTATGGAACACACATTTTTTTGGATATTATAATGCTTATTTGATGTTAAATATTTTTTATTGAAATTATTTTTACTATATTACAAAGTGATAGAAAATAAAATAAAAAATAATACTATAAATAAATATATTAAAGAAATAATTTAAAGAAAAAAATAACACAAAAAAAAACTATATTTAAAATTTTTTACATAGATAATAATTTAAATAAAAAATATATATAATAGAAAAATAAAAAAAAATAAGACATAAACAAAAGTCATGGCGACAGTACCGAACCGTCGTAATCAACAATTAAAAATAATCAACAAAAGTCATGACGGTATCGAACCGTCGCCATAAACAATTTAATCAATTTCACAAGATATTCACGACAGTATCGAACCGTCGCCATCAATAATTAAAAGAAACTCAAGATAGTCACGACGGTATCAACCCGTCGTAAACTAGAACGACAGTTTTTGTAACCGTCGCGAAATAGGTTGGGGACACACACTTCTACGACGGTAAAGCAACCGTCGTGGAAAGCAAATTGCGACGGTTTTAACCGTCGTAATCTACAAAAATACCTGTCGCAATCTGCCAATTTTCTTGTAGTGAGTGATGATCTTTCCCTTGACAGGATACTTCAACATCTGATGTAAGGATGAGGTGGCTGCCCCAGCATGGTGTATCCAAGGTCTACCCAGCAGGCAAGAGTATGATGGACGGATGTCCATCACATAGAAAGTGGATTTAAACACCTCGGTGCCTATCTTGATGGGAATTTCAACCTCTCCATGGACCATTCTCTTCGAACCATCGAAAGCTCTGACAACAATATCACTCGGCTTCAATTCCAACCCTTCACAATCTAGCCGGTCCAAGGCCTTCTTAGGCAAAACATTCAGCGACGAACCAGTATTAACCAAGACATGTGCGAGAGTAGTTCCTCGACACTCGGCTGAAATGTGCAAAGCATCATTGTGATTTCTACCTTTAGGAGTTAGGTCGGCATCAGAAAAACCTAATCCATTGTCCGCAGTCAGGCTAGCCACGCAATTCTGAAATTGATCCGCAGAGGTTTCCTGGGGCACATGAGCTGCCTTCAGGAATTTTATCAGGGCTTTAGCGTGCGCTTCTGAGCAAAGTAGCAGTGCCAGCATGGAGATCTTGGAGGGGGTTTGCCCCAACTGTTCCACCACATCATAATCACTTCTTTTGATTATCCTCAAAATCTCGTCCATTTCCTTCTTGGAGGTTTCCGGGATTACCAAGGGTTGAGCCCTCGTCCTGACGGGCTCATCTTGGATTCCCTTACCTTTGTCAGCAGCGGTAGGAGAGACAGTACTAGGAACAACAATGTCTTCAATCAGAGGAGTTCTAGCGGAGATTTTTATTGGTGCAGGGATGACCTCGTTAGCTGATGAGGGTCCAAAGACTGCTCTTGGAGGGGCAATCTCTGGAGAAAATATTCTCCCGCTCCTGGTGATTTTGCTAGTGCCCGCAATGTTGCTAATGCTGGCTTCATCATCATCTGAACTTTCTTCAATTACTTCGATTTGCTTGATACCATGGTAGTAGACGTCACCGCCATAGTTCCAAAGTATCGACTTCTCAGAAACATAGGGAACAGGCCCTGGCATTGTTATCTTCAAAGGAACAGATTTCGTAGCTGGTGTAATCTTAACAGGCTTTTTGACGGCCTTGGAAAGATTGGCGTGAATGGTTATGATTGAGACATCTTCAGTATGAACTGGAACAGCAGAAACTTTTTCGAACAAAATTCGTCGACTATCCATAAGGCCTTGGATGCCTTTCTTCAGTAGCGGACAATCAAATGGCAGAGAGTAACAACAATAGCAGTCTTCTTTACATCCCGGGAAGATCCCGGCCCTCAACAGATTCAACTTAATGGTTAGCAATGGAGTAGTCAGATCACTGACATCAGTAACATACAAATATTCTTCAATGGCATTGACATTTCGGCCGTGCTTCGGCATGGGTGCAGATATCACATTAGGCTTCTCTGGAGCGTCAAACTCTACCTCCTTAGCCTCTATCAGGTCTTGGATTTTATGCTTGAGTGCCCAACAATCATTGGTGTCATGTCCAACACTGTCTGAATGGTAGGTGCATTTAGCATTGGCATGATAATGCGGAGAGGACGTATTCACATTCTTTGGTTCCTCCTTGATGGTGGCAAGATTCAACTTCAACAGATGGGGAAGCACTTGCGCTGGAGTCATATTAATATGGGTGAACTGTCGTTGTGGCTGTTCCACTCGTTGTTGATTTGGTCTGGACTGGTTATAGCGAGGCTGCTCACTTGGAGTGTTTTGAATCATGACGGCCCCCACAGTTGGCCGACGCTCCGTCTTCCCTGTTCTTCTCTGAGAATATACCATAGTTGTTTCCTTCTTAAAAGGCTTCTTCTCAACACTTGCAGCAACACCCTTCTGAATCTTTCCTGACTTGATGCCAGCTTCTATTCTTTCGCCTGTTAAGATCAAATCGGTAAACCCCGCGGAAGAGTTACCAATTAGATGATTGAAAAATGGCCCAGATAGGGTCCCAAGAAACATATCAACGAGCTCACGATTGGTTAAAGGAGGCTGCACCCTGCCAGCCAAATCCCTCCATTTTTGTGCATATTCTTTGAATCCCTCACTTGTTCCTAGTGACATACCCTGAAGTTGGGTACGAGTAGGAGCAAGATCAGAATTATATTGGTATTGTTTGTAAAAAGCAGTGGCCAAATCCTCCCAATTTCTGACACTGGTTCCTTCTAGCTGATAAAACCACTCCAACTGAGCTCCCGAAAGGCTGTCTTGAAAGAAATGAATCCAAAGATTCTTATCTGCCGTATAGGGTTGAATCTTTCTCACGTAGGACCTGAGATGCATTTTGGGACAGGACAGCCCATCATACCTCACAAACACTGGCACTTTGAATTTTGGGGGAATCACAATTCCGGCAACCAAACCCAAGTCTTCAAAGTCCAAGCCCGGTACTCTTTGTAATTCCATGGCGGCCAATCTGTCTTCTAACCCTTTGTATTTATCATCAGCTGAAGGGTATTGCTGGTCAGAATAATCTTCATCCTCTTCAACCTCTTCTTCTTCCGCATCAGACTCGGAAGGCACCGCAGCTCCATCTCTTTTACTGGTCCCTTCATCAGAAGTAGGAGGAAATTCAAGCACTCTTCGAGCTTCTCCGTCAAATCTTCTCCCCAAAGTAGCCACCCCAATCCTCTTTTTCTTCTTTTTCACTGGGTCCTTATTCCCCAATTGAGTCTTGATATCCTCCTGACCTTTAGCCAAGGTCATCAGGAGTTGTTGGAACTGTGCATTCTGAGCTTGTAGGTCTTTGACTGTTTGCTCGAGATCCATCCTACTGAAATAAACAGCAGACAGATAAGGAAACCTGGAGTGAGACCTGCTTATGCACATGATGAATGGTATGCTTATGTATGCAATGCATTCAAGGATTTAGAACATTCAAAATTGTTTCAGACAAAGAAGAACGCACGTCATATTAATAAGAAGAAATTTGTTAGTACATAAATGCCCCATGGGCCAAATATTACAAAATAAACTTCTTAAGGCAGAAAGACATTGCGCATCCTCTTTGGTGCGATGTAGGTGTTGAGGGCCTCTTGCTCGTGGAGTCGGCGGGTAAGCTCTAGAACCTTCTTCTCACTGGCGTAGAAGCTAGCTTCAAAAGTATTTCGTTCTTCCTTGAGCTGAATCCAACTTTTCTGCATTTCCTCCCACGATGTAGGCATGTCTGGATGTAGGATGGTGTAGGGGACCTCTCCTTCATTGACGGGCTCTTTAATCACTGGGAGTACATGAGGATAAGGCATCATTAGACTTTGGGCTCGGGCTCGTACCCACTTGAGATAGGGCTCAAGAGGGATGGAGTTCTTGTGTCCC